TTGGGAGGAGTCCCTCCTCCCTGCTGTGAGGTATATTTTAAATTGTAGTACAAGTAATAGCATAGTATTCTATATACATAAATACATATAGATTCACAACAGTCTCTATACATATTTTATAATGACCATCAAGTTCAGAACATTACAAGCTTTCATTAAAGCCTTTTTCTCAACATATTTTATACACAGTAACATTGCATACAACTAGTTGATTCAATTGCTTACTCTTTGGAGTTCAGACCCTCTGTTCTCCGCTTGGGGTGCTGGATTCTGATTGTGTCTGTAGCATTACCCATTAATGAGCCTTATTATACTGGAATCTATAAAATTTCTACAACAGACTCCCTCATCATGCCTCGTATGGCTAAGAGAACAGGGTGCAGATACCAGGTCTCATCAGAGGATCATGAACACTTTTATTCTCCCCTGACCCCCAAGATCTTTGATGCTCACTGCAGTGAATGAAAAGACTTAAGAGGGGCATTCAAAATCTATCCCAAGGATAAAGACTTGAAAAAGTTGGACATATTTAGTAGAAAGACTTATTTAACTTCAGGGCTACAAATTTGTAGAGCCAACCATCAAGCACTGTTGGCTAGGTACGATTTCTTCAACTGGCATGCAACGTCCAAATTCCTGGACAGAATACCAGAGGAATCCAAGGAGGAGTTCCAGGAAATGTCTATATAGGTCATTTGGTGGTGAGAACATCCTTCCAAGTAGCCCTTGACATGGCAGATTCAGCAGCCAGAATGATGGTAATTGCAGTCACTAAGTGCCACTCATCTTGGTTGCAATTTTCCTGTATGCCTATGGAAGTCCAAAAAACAATAAAGATCTACCTTTTGAGAAAACTAACCCCGTTTCTGGGAAGACAGACGAAGCCCTGCATTCCCTCAAGGATTCTAGGGCTACTCATACCCCTTTGGGCATCTACATTCCATCTTCAAAGAGGAAACAATACCATTCTCAGTTCCAACAGAAGCAGACATTCTATCCCCCAAGACAGCCTGAACAAGCTAAAAGGTGGGGTGAGTCTCAAAGGAGCCCACCACCTCCTCCTTCTGCATTGGCTTTGTCTAAACATCCATCCACCCTGAAGCAGTCTATTTGATTCTTTGGTCAAGGTCAGCATATCAATCTATTCAGGTCTACCTTGTCCTCCTCCTCCCTTTTGGAACAGTTGTTCCTCAGTGCTTGGAGCCTCATTACAATACACCAATGGATTCTGAACACCATGAGAGTGGATTACACTCTGCAGTTTCTCTGCATTCCTTCCTTCCACCCACCCCTCCTTTGTCCCTTTTTCAAGGGCCAATCTCACAAGGCTGTTCTCAAGCAAGAAATACAGCGTCTTCTCAAGTTGAGAGCCATAGATGAGGTGCCTCTGCAACATTGGGGAAAGGGGTTTTACACTCATCATTTCTTCACGCCAAAGTCCAAAGGAGATCCAAGGCCTATCCTACCTAGATCAACAAAATAATAAACAAATACATTACAAAATATAAAGTTTTGCATGGTTTCCCTAGCTTCTATTATTCCTTCCCTGGATCACAATGATTGGTATGCTGCCCTCAAGTTGAAAGATGCTTATTTTCATGTGACTATCTACCTAGGCCACAGAAGATTCCCTAGTTTCACGGATGCAAATGCTCATTATCAATGTATAGTCCTCCCCTTTGGCCTGTCATCAGCCCCATGGGTCTTCACGAAATGGGTGACAGTAGTGGTTGCTGACTTCAGAAGGATTGATTTGCGGCTGCTCCAAGCAACAGACAGAGGACATCATCAGATAAATCCAGTGCCATAGGCCTGATAATCAACAAGGGCAAGTCAATCCTGTAATGCAGATGATCGAGTTTACTGGTGTGGAAGTAGAGCAAGAACAGACAGGTATTTGAAGGGGATTTCAATGTCTAAATAGTCTCTTCTGTGAGCAAGAGTCAGGCTAGCTGTTAGCCTAATAACGCGAGACCTGTAGAAGCGAGGATTGTGTGAGGCGAATGGGAAAGAACTGTGTGAGAAGTTGTTGCAACCTTGTGTAGATAAATATGGACTGTAGACTAGAGTCTAAATAGATGTGAAAAATAAGATATTAGGATGACCTATGTATAAACAAAATGCAGCTGTTGCTCATTATTGTATGTAACAAAAGGTATAAATGCTTGCTGTAATTGTTTACCTGTAGAGAGACCTGCCTAGGAGGGGGAAACCCTGTGTCCTAGTGTGCACTCTCCCTCTATGCAATTGCTTGAGAATAAAGTATCTGACTTTGCTGCACCCAACCAAAGAGAGTGAGAACTCTGTTTTTCTCCGACACTGGGATTGTTCTCAGTTCAAATACAACAACAGCTTATTTGCCCCAGTCCAGGTTGGAAGAGATTCTGGACTTATGCAATGCCCTCCAGGCCCACCCTCTGATGAAAGTAAGAAACTGCCTAAGACTACTAGGACATATGACGGTTTGCACACATGTACTCAGCATGCCATACTCCACCTCTTGTGTATGTAGGGGTGGTTTAAAGTCTGTATCATTCATCAAGACACCTGCTGGACATGCTGATTCATGTACCAGCAAGATTTCTTTCTTCCTTGAACTGGTGGATCCAGCCAACATGTGCAGAGGAGTTGCTTGCTTGCCTCCCTGAGGTAGCAGATTGCTCTCTGCTGGTCCAAAATATTTTACTGAACAGCTGAAAACCTTCTACAGGATACATTACTTTGTGAAATGAACATGTTTCTCCATCTGGTCTTAGCAATGAGGCATCCTTTCCCTGCAGACTCAACTCCAGGACATGCTGGAATATTTGCTGTACCTGAACAAACAAAGTCTCTCAGTTCCCTGAGGGTTCTCCTGGCTGCAGTTTCAGTTTTCCACCCCCGATAGGGGGTAGATTGGTGTTTTCTAATCCCATGACTATTACATTTTTAAAGGGTATAGATAGACTCTATCCACCTTTCACCTCAACCAAACAATGAACTTAAAATCTCT